TAATTAGTTTTCGTAAAATTGTAACTAATACGAAGATAATCATCATCACATCCGAAAAATCTCAAAAATCATAATAACAGCCGCTAAACTTCTACAAAATTATGAGCTTAGATAGTACGTGAACTTACATTGTAATTTCATGATAAAAAAAATTCACGAGCACATAGAGTAGATGATTAGACCTAAACACGACCCAAAAGAAAAGAAAGCATGAAACCATATGTTGTTAAGTGGAACATCTAGTCTTAAAAGAGATGCAAATAATACTAGTGGGAATTAGTTTAGATTGCACATTAATTAAATTAAAGAAACATATATATATATATATATATATTAAATTTTGAAGAGAAGGTCTATTGAATACTATCATATATATAAATTGTGTGATATTGGCGTAATATGGATAACGATGGTGTCGGAGAATAATGTAGACATGTCTTCTTCAATAGACTAGTCAAGCCGACACTCTAATTATACCAAAACTTTGTAGCCTTTGCACGTGTACGTATGTGTTATTATTGTTTCATATCTATGATAAATTTCATCTTAATTATTGTTAATTGAATCAATCGTTATCTCTCGATCCTATAGAATCCCTAACAACGAAAATTCGAAGTATAAATTATGTATAATATAACAAAATAAATTAATAAAAGTCTGTTTTATTCATCTTGTTTTCACTTATTTAAAAAACTAATTTTAGTGAAGTAATAAGTTCGGGACTAAGAAAAATTTTAGTGAAGTAATAAGTTCGGGACTACGAAAATATATTAAAGTTCTTTTAATGACTACACTTATGTTCAATTTACAACGAAAATGAGGTTAAATAAGGTTTATTAAATTTAGATAACCTAAAATAAGTTTATGTAAGTTCAAACAAGAACTCAAATAAGTTTATGTAAGTTCAAACAAGAACTCATTTATATAGGATTCAAAAATTATCAAAAGACTTAAGTCAAATAGATACTTTTTACACTTATGAAGCAATCTAAAGAGCAACAAATATTGTTTTATACTCCTTAATCTTTTCAATTCCATCACATAATTATAGGAGAAAGAACTAATTTGATCATAAAAAAAAATACTACTATCTTACATTGTTATTTCAATTAATTTGATGTTACAAAATATATATACCAATACACCATTATAAAATCAAAACAAGCAATAAGTGGTTCTTGCAGGCGCCGGTATGCTGCATTGTATAACCGTTTTGCGTGAAAGAACATAATATAGAAAAGTGAAGAACATATAACTATAATGAAAAGAACATACTGTTAAAATGTAATGAACATATACCCTTCAGTGAAAAGAACATATTTACACCAAAAAAAAGTGAAAAGAACATATGTTCATGTTCTTTGATTATCTGTATAATGTGCTTTTATTTGTGACATAATGCTCATTGCTTATTGTTAAATGTTTTTTGAATTTTGTCTCCAAATTATAGTGGGTACATATAAATAATGTTCATTACATAATATTATGATGTTCTTTATTAATATTACAAATGTTCTTTAGATTTAACAAAAAAAAAACATAAAACTGGATGTTCTTTACAAAACAGCTATATGTTCTTTATAAAATAGTTGTATATTCTTTACCAAACATATGCATGTTCATTCCGCGTTTTTTGTCTGTACCAAGCATGGTACAGTCGCCTGTACCTTAAAATTTTCACAAAACAAGTGTGCCTATTTCATGTATTGTTACATGTTTAGAACATATGTATTTTTTTTTTTTAAAGGAAAATTATTTTGGACAGGCCTTGATTTACGACCCCATATCACTATATAATCTCTATTTTTTAAGAAAAATAATTTTGAACAGGTCCTGATTTACGACCCCATATCACTATATAATCTCTTATACTCAAATTAATCCATTACTACTAGCCCTAATACATGGATCCATGTCCTCTTTCGGCCAAAAGAGCAACCAGAAAATGTCAACTAAATGCGTTAAACCAAATGGTAAACTACTCAAGCAAGTTACCATCAGCAAATTTGAAAAGCATTGACACAAAACACTGATAATGAAAATGGCCTTTGCTTAATGATTGAGACACAAGTAAGTTTAAATCATTTTCATTCAAGATTATATGACTAAATCTATCATTATTACTAACTTTTATCATTATAACCAATTAATATAATTACTATTACTCGGTATTATTGTTATATTAATATAACAAAGTTCTAAGTTACGTACACGATTATATAATTTAATTGAAAATGTAGTTTGAATGGGAAGCAATTTTTCCAAGTCTAAACCTTAAATATAGGAGATAAGAAGAGTTGATAATATTCTTTTACAAAGAACTAAGTAACACAAAAGACAATTTGGACGGTCATGTCAAGAAGACTAATTATAAGAAGATTTAATTGTATTAACAAATTAAACAAAAACATTAATCTATGTTACAATATTGGTTATGCACAAGGTAGTCATATTAGGTGGAGACAACTTTGGAGAAGCCAATACAATAGTAGATATTAAAGAGCATAATTTGAACTTTGCAATTAAGCTAATTTGGATTTATGTTTGACTAACTACTAATAAGATTTGTGGAAGGTATGAATTTGCCTCGTCTTCTTCTGCCATGACTTTGGTCATGGACCAATGGTTGTTCTTTAAAATTCAAGCAAGTGCTTTCAAGTTTTTGTTTTCGATCGTCTATGAATAAAGATTCCTTTTCGATGAATTAATTAAGCAGTATTATTAAATTTGAAACGGCTCATAAATATGACCTACTACGGAAAATTAAATAGATTACACCTTATTTTGTACATAGTAATTAATATTGAAATTTTAAATCATCTAATAACCTACTTCTCAAACACTTTACTAGAGAATTTACAAATTTTTAATAAAACTGTCTTATCATCATAAGACTATACTGCAGGTGGGTTGAGAGTTGAGACAAAAAGAGAAAAAAAGTGATAGTCACATTTTTGTATTGACTCATAAAAGTGGTCTTATAATGGTAAGGTTATCTTATCTGGCTTGGAGAATTCGCTTCTTCAAAGTAGGCTATTTGTATCAATTTTAGTAAATTTGATTCACTGCATAATGCATGGTGATACATACATCATACCTAAATAATAAGACACGATACATGTACCAACATATGAGGTGCACTACCATTGAACTTATAGACACTCGAGTCTAAACTTATTAGACCCTAACTACATAAGAAAACCAACTTTTAACCCTAGTGCATGAATCACGAGTGCATGAATAATATCCTTAATTCCTTTAACGAGCAACGAAGAGCACGTCATGATCTGATTTAACAAGGTGAAAAAACTAATTCGTACTGTATTAATTTCACATGAAAAGAAGAATAGAATTGAATAACACTTTTTCTTGCATGCTACAAAATCCTAGCTACTCTTAATTTATTATACTCTTGTACAAGTAAATGTGACAACTACTACAGCTAAGAGCTAAGAGAGACTAGCCACTAGCCTTCTAAGATTACGGCCATTTGGCCATGGTCGGAAAGAGGTTCGCACTAATTTAGAAAGATACCTTAATTAATTATTTCTAATCAAAACCTAAGTTACCATTTTTAATTCTCTTATTTGATTTATCCTTAAATCACTCTTAAAGCTGTTACTCACTTACTCTACAATCTCATCAAAATAATTACCTACACATTTGACATTTAATCAAGATATTTGGTCAGCTAACTATGACTACAACATTAATCTAGCTACCACTCTATTACACCACTGAGACAAATCACTCGAGTTATACTTATAACAACGCCATGTCATCATTCTTAAAAGGTGTGAATCGAACAATTTTTTAATATGAGTACTATGTAAAATGTTTATAAAACTTGTCCACTTTATACAACTAACAACGGATACTCGACGGGATCTGAAATTGTCAGTGTATAGTAAAAGCGGACATATCAATTAGTTGAGCACAAAAAATTAAACCTTTTGTATTACATTCTCAGCGAGTTCCATAGAATATCTACAAACTTGAGTATGGCTAGAGACCTGACTTGACACGAACTAAAGCCGACTCAAATGCTCAAATTGACATCTCTACTCCGTACATAAGTATGTATTTTGTATTTATATGTCAACGAAACTAAACAGTGACTTAGCAAGTCGATCGACATTGTACGACTTGTGCAAGCCATAAAGGTATGATAGTTATGGGTCTTGCTAGTTCATCAACTGATAAAGAGGAAGAAAAAGGCAAAGAAAAAGACAACCAGTTTATAACTTTATGGTCTATCCAGATGCCCTTTCGAGGAGAGTTCACAATCATAACTCACAGGTTGCATGTAAGCAAGGACAAACTGGGTCAAATCAATGTTCTAAAATCTAAACCCACTAAAACTAAACAAATATACTAACAATATTAGCCTTTATTATTTAGCATGATGCCTAATATTAGCATCCACTGTTTTTATGTTACAATTCTATAAAGAAACAAGCTTAGTATATGCTTAAAAAGATGCTACATTGCTACCACAGTATAACCTCGTGGATTCTCCCAAACATATGCATAGTGTTGCTTTAGAATTTTCTTGCATTTAGTATATTCCCAAAATATGACACTTAAAGAACAAATTTGTTTCAAGTATCTTGGATAAACTTGTGTTGGTTCGTCATATTTATGTCAATATCGGGTCAATTTCTGATTTTCTTGTATAGGGTAAAATAACGGTCTAATTCGAGCAAATCATACTAATTAGCTGAAAACGACTCAATCTTGACCTTACCAGATCGAGCAACCAGCCTACCACTCATAGCTTAGACTAGCAAACAGACCCGCAAGTCACAACAAACAGTTTCAATTTAAGGCTGAGAGAAGTTAACCTAGTTTTCATACTGAGAGAAGTTACTCCATAAACCAAAAACGCCATAGATCAGATACGCGGCAAAAACATTTTGAGGAAATGTCACTTGTAAATGTGAAAGGATAAAAAGGGAGAATTACTGTAAGAACAGTTGATGCACTACTTTAAACCACAATAAAGGCAAGCAGCAAAACTGGAGTACTGGTAGAAAAGACGAGAAAACTGGATGGAACCACCTATCTATAATCGGAAAACCAGTCCTCGAACTATTTCCAGCAACCCGCCGGACTCTTTCTAGCTAGTAAAACCAACAAGGTCTAAATATACGAAACCTCACCTCTACCAAGTCTTTATTTCTTAATTTAGGACGAAATAACAAACCTTTACACAAGGGAATAGTGGCATTATTCTTACATTAGAATAACAATCCTATTCAGGCCACGGCAGCAAAAAATCAAAATCTGATCATTAGGTATGATAATTTTATCAACCAAATTTCCCAAAATTGACAATTGTTGGACCTTGTACAATTGCTACAACTATTTACACAAGGCATGACTCATTATTATACCCAGGATTAAGTTGTTAAAAAATACCTTCATCACTGGATGATCCAGGCAAGCCTTTGATTACATCTCTGAGAGCATAATAGTGGCTTTCGCATTTGTGATCTGAAATTAAATTGCTCGAGAGTAAAATTTCCTGGAAATGCTGCCCAGGATGCCATTTCCAGAGCGTGAAGTACTCTTTCGCTTTGCTTCCGTTGCTGCTGCTGTTTTGGCCATCAGTATTTCTTTTTAGATAGTAAACAGTTCCTGGGACAAACAATTCTTCATGCATCAGAGCAGCATTTTCTTTATCCCTGATAACAGCATCTTTGTCCCTGATAACAGCAGTTGGCTTGGAGACTGGCGGACCATCGGCTCCAGCAAGTGAATCCTCACTTGTCAATATACCTGTTAATCAAGGCAACAATTTACAATTGTCATATAAATGCCCTAATATAATGTTTGTATTTCTTATACGCTCATCACTCAGATAGCATACTGGGTATGCAGTCGGGTTTTTGATGAAAACTATCCAAAATAAATAATCTATATGCAATGAAGGGTGTGTTTGGTTACATGTACAATATTTGGTGCATAATCTATATTCTGACAAACTATCCAAAATAAGAAGTTTTAGATGAAAACTATTCAAAATAAGAAGTAATCATATCTCTAACAGTTTGGTTTCATGTACAATGTTTTCATAGAAAATGATTTTCCCATTTTCTTTTATTTTCCTTTGTTTGGTTTGTGAAGGGGCGAAAAACAATCTTCCTAGTGGTGGAAAATTACACTCTCAAGTCTCAATGGTGGAAAACATTTTCCTTTACAAAAGAAAGGAAGCCACATATTACTCCTGCCTTACCTCCTTTTTCCTCTCATGTATCCTCACCATTCCATTCCTATATTTTCATTTTCTCTATAACTTTTTTTGCAAGGAAACAAACAAAAAAAACTAATTTGCAATCGTGGTTTTTCCTTGAAAATATATTTCCCATGAAAATTCATTTTTCATAGATAATGTTTTAAGTCAAACCAAATGGAGCCGACATAATGAAAAAGTTATCATAAAAGATCACTAGGTTAGATCCCGTGCCATGCACGGTGATCTATACATATATATATTTTTTTTTTTTGAGGTGATCTATATATATATAGTTATATATTATTAATTGAGAAATATTATAATCATAAATTAGTCAAGAAATAATAAAAGTATGTGATATGTTAATTTGATATTTTCAATTTTAATTGTAACTTCCAATACACAACTAAAACAAAGTAGGCAAAAAAATCTGAGCAATTTTTTTTTTTTATTGTAAAATAGGTCACTAATTATTTAAAAATATTGATTTTTGGTATATATTGCCAAATTTTTTTTTAGTAAGATTTGTGAAAAAATCTTATATTTTAAATATAACGTGTCAATATGGAATACGTAAAAAAGATACGATTTTTGTAAATGATTTGTTTCCTTTATTAAAATATTTTTTTTAAAAAAAAGAAAAAATAACTAAGGACACACTAGGAGATGACATGTGTCATCGCTGGTGTGTCTTTTAATATATAATATTGAAGTATTGATGATTTGAATAATGCAAACCAGATTCTAGGCCACTTTGTAGGAAACCTATGGTGAAAGCACCAAGAAACTAGAAAGAATAACAATTACAATATATATCAAAGGATGACCCTATAAAATGAAGATTTCCTTTATACAAATTTTTGTTTGCCTTCAATATAGAAAGTAATACAAGGCCGTACCACCCTCTTTCTCATCTCATTTCTGGAGCAGGCATAAAAAATGTAATAATGACAGCCCATATGGTATAATGTGCTGAGATAATTTAAGTATATGTGCTATTTCACGCAAATTGTCCAATATAAATGTCCAAAGTAAGTAACTACAAAACTTTGGTTCTAATTTATTTTTCTATTGCCACTTTTACCAACTACAGAAATGAATGGGAGTGGAAATTATGACTACAAAATATCCAGTAATGAAGTATACACATAAATTGCATAACTAATCCTTTTATCCATCAACTAATACCAAGCTTTAAAGTAATATGGAGTAATCAGCAACTCTTTCCCTTTCAAGCGTGGGGTTAAAGACTTCCATCAAAAATCCTTTCCACTATATTACCAATTTACACAACATGTACAAAACAAAGTTTATCGATGTTACTCAGTATCAACTATCTTATTATTGCAAACCCTCCTAAGAATATAAAAACCATGGGAAAATGAGATCATGGTATATATAATAACTAGTCATAATGCATTTGTCAAAATATTTACTGCTAGACACAAGATATGCATAATCAATACAAATCTTTAGACAATTTGAAACAATAGCTGTTTCCAATTGGTACATTTACAAGGACATAGAGTCATACCAGAGTTGTTGGTCCTGCTTCTAAAATTTGCATAGTCAGCCACTTTCCGAGCTACATCTTGTACAGAAGACATGACCTGTTTTGCATTTGTGAAAAATTCCATCACACTTTTATAATCTTCCTTCTTCAAGACACTCATCCTACAGAAGATCAGGGGATATAAAGAAATCATTATCAGCTATGATTTAATGAAAGTCGGCAAGGACAAAGTAGCAGAGAGAAAAAAAAAGAAAAAAAAAAAATCGTTTACATTACAACATATTATAATACATAATCACTTGTCAGATTTGCGCTAGGATGATGAATTGTTGACATTGTCCACAACCTAAGCATGAAAGTCAACTCTCTATTCACAAATTCTACAGGCAGTAACCCACCCCCGCCCCTAAGAGGGAAAAATATTAGCTAATGTACAGCAGAGGTTCCTAGCAACAACATTTCAGAACGGATTTCACCATTGGTCCATAGGCAAGGCTGTTTAGATCAACCAAATATGTTCTTAAGATAAAACAGTGAAGAAACATAGTAACTACAACAGAAACAACAACATTACAATTATTATAGTTATAACAAAAACATATATAGGTTTAGAAGCACACTGAATTAGATATAAAAATTGAACAAATTAACATTGACATTTTTAACCTTGCAAGGAAAAGAAGCACCGGGCAGAACAGAACAAAAACTTGGACATACATAAGACCATAACCTAGAATGGAGAAGTAAGTACACATACAGGAGAGACAAAGGTTCTTCCAAATAACATGATGCATAGGCAAACCTCCCTTCCTGCTTCTTAAATTGCAATGTTAGAGATTTTAGGTCGGAATAACTGAATGATGAGGGGGCATTAGCTTACCAGTCAGTTTGAATGATTTCATTCCTCAGTCTTGCCAAAGAAGCGACACTTAGCCTAGGAACAACATCGTCCTGCATGACGATATAACATATATTACTCAAAGAGTAGTGACTACTGACCGCACATGCATAGGTCAGATAAAGTTCTCTCCTAATAGCCCCAGAACTCAACATACATACTCATAAATGCCTACCTGCATCACAACCGTGCTGACATAATCACAACAGCTTTCAGCAAGTTCTTTGGACACACAAGGAGGAGTAGCAATTCCAACAGCAGTTACAGTACTGGGATCAAATCCCAGCTCTGTGGCTGATTTTTGACGAAGCATCATTGCCAATAAAGAAGCTGTAGAAGCTCCAAGAGAATGCCCCACCAACCGTAACCTAAAACCCTGTGAATAAATTAGGCCATACTAATAAAGCAGCCTTGAAAAAGACAGGCAAAATGTATACATGTATGTAAAAGTAAGCTGAAAAAGGAAATAGATATCAAATTAAGTTACATAAAAAGCTTCACAACCTCATGTTTATGCAAACACCTCTTTATTGTTCCCATCTCATGATTCAGAAACCAGCGAGCAGCCTCAGCAGTACCAAAGTGGGTTGAATAGCCTTCAAAGGTGACATCTCCATCACTTGTTGACACAATATCAGTTACAAGGTCATATACTGTATGAGTTCCACGGATGCCAAGAATTACAAGTTTTCTGCGAGGATCAATACCGATGTAATAGCCAGGTCTCATCACGCTCGAATTACTGATGAATTTCAGGATGTTGCTTTCTCGAAGCATGCTTTGCCTGGCGAGGCCTGCAGGGGTGCCCCTATATGATCCTCTAGCTAATTCCAAGTGATATATAAGATCTTGTACCTGATTCACATAGGCATCAAAAGAAGGAAGAATCAATAGTCTAAATAAAAACTACAAAAACAAGACATAGTGAGAATCCTGCAGCAACTAAGTTATTGGTAGGTAAACATATTTATTAGGACATTATTTCTGAAATTTACCACGGATTCTGAGGTGATTTGAACACCCTTAACATCTACAAGTGGAGCTGCAGATGCTTGACGAAGATAAACAAGGTACAGTCCAATTGTGAGATCAGAGAGGCTCCAGTCTTGTAATCCAGTCTTACTTCTCTGGATACTAGCAACAATTTCAGCGATTGAACGACTACTGGGTGGAGGCTTACTTTCAGAGCCATTTCCTGCTACGTAAAACAACTTCCTCAGTTACCAACTGAAAGAATGAAACAAAAATTTCAAAGGAGACTCCATACAAACAAAATATCTTTTTAAACTTTCCTAATAATTTACAACAAATAAAAATTAATGATGCAGCCACTTTGTCATTCAACACTTACGATGTACAGTGATTCCAAGGCAATGCATAAGATACAGAAGATGTAACATTATAGAGTGATAAATGAATACTTATGGAGGTCTTCATTAAAAAAATATTTGAGTAGCAAAAAAATAGAATTATACAGAAAGAAAGAGAAAACAAAATACTTCATCTTCAAAAAGGACCTCTCAAGGCGTTGCAAGTTTTTTTTTTTTTTTTTTTTTTTGGAATAATTAAGAAAACAATTTATCCAATTATGTTAGTAATGGAAAGACAAAGACTGCAAGCATTTAAAGCTTGTGATATGAAACTGGTATAGCTGGAATGGTTAAAGAATTGATACACGAATCATGCAAATTAAGCAAGGTTGGCATGACAGAATTAACTACTCTCAAAGAAAGCATAAATAAGGCCTTATATTGAAAACTATGATGCCACCACCCCTAATGCCTTTAAGGATGTCTCAACCCAAAGAGGTAGAGAAATGGATTATATGCAATCTTATCCATACAGTTTCAGCCCTTGATCTAAATTCTAAAGCTAAAAGTCCCTTAAATGACTAACAACTTTATGGTGCACTTAAAATACCATTTATGAAAACATTTATTATATTCTGTTTTGATATAAAGCTTTGTATATGAACAACAAAATTAGCAATTATCAGACCTGGGAAAGCCCACCTACAAAGTTGTAGTGCAGGTTCAAGTGCCTTCGTAAGCCATGCAAGTTCCGACTTTCGTGTATTATCATTCAGTTCATCGTCATCAGAGCTATACTTTCCAAGTGTGCGATCATAATCTGTCTTATCAATGAGCTCAGACCTCTTCGGTGCCTCATATGAACCTTTGCTTTCAGACTTTGAAGATAGTGATCGAAACCTGGTAAGAGCGCCATACACGAGCATTCCATATGATTCATGTTTCTTTACCATGTGCTTATCTACAGATGTGATTAAATATTACTAACACATATAATAGAAGAAAGCATAACAAAATGATGGGCAAATACTTCAGCACAAAGAAAGAAAGGTCACGAGCGAATGACATAATAAAGATAGTAAGTTTTGCACACTGAAATAGCAAATAGATTTTAAGCTAATAAAAAAAAAAAGAGCAAAAACAGAGTAGCAAAAAGAACTGGGTAAGGGCAATCATGAAACAGAACCATGGAGCAAGAAAAGAAGCTGTATTACTAATTATGCAGCTGATGCTTATTGTTTGAGGTAACAAAAACCCCTATAATTCTAAAAGCTCAACCCATTCAGCCCAAAGAAACATATACTTGACCACGAAACTAACTTTATTCTCATTAACTATGATTTGCAACTGATATTAGCACAGAACTTCATAGATAAATCAAGTAAGAAACAAAAAGGACATTACCTATTCATAGAGTAATTCTATGGTCGATAAAGGATATGAACTACATTTTTCCAATAGTTAGGTTAGAAAAGTAGGCAAATCAACTTATCATCTATAGTTGGAACCAAAGTCCAAAAATAAAAGCAGAATAGATCCAAACAGACTATAAGCCAACATCAAAATGAAGCAAATTATAAACAATTAGTCAATTAGACCAACGGCTAAGAGTCAAGGCGTTCACTAAGTGTCCTGACGTAATGCAATCGTACACTCAATACATTAACAAGAGAAGATTCTCTAAGTTCAGGAATGGATGTCACAATAAGTTCAAGGTTTCACCTCTCATTGCAACAATAGACCATAACCAAGTTTAGTAGCTTATTAGACATGTCAATGAACCCGACCAAATTTAGTAGCTTCCAAGTTTAGTAGCTATTAGACATAACCAATTAACCATAACCAAGTTTAGTAGCTATTAGACAAGTTTAGTAGCTTATTAGACATGTCAATGAACCCGAACATCTCATTAACAAACTCGGCCATAGTTCGTTCGTTATGTAAACAAATAAACCCGAACACATTTCCGAGCTTATCCAATAAACAAGCTCAGCTCCACCAACGAGGTGTTTGACTCATTTACGCTCACAAATAGTTCGTTCATAATCATTTATCGGCTTGCCTAATGCCTACTTAATCCACGGTCCACATACATCCACATTTTTACTTTGCTTAATTACTACTACAAAGAGCAACCTATTCGACAGAAAAAAAGAGTTTTCCGACAAGAAATTGTGACCGTTTGATCAAAATCTTCATACTTGCTCAAATTTATCCAAATTTTCAAAGAGATGATTCAACACAATACATTAATAAATATTATTAAAATTAAGTACAGTATAAACTTGTACACCTACACTACTCAATAGAACTACAAAGTTTCAACTAAATAATCAATTCTTACATTCAAATTAGGATTCTAACAACAAAAAAATTTGAATTAGGAAATTTCTCAGCAACAATTGATTCATAAAGTACAACTTATAAAAACGGCAAAAATCACATAGAAATGATGGTTAATAGTTTCATCAATTTTATCAAATGAAGAAGAAAAATTACCTAGGTGATGTAAAAGACGACGCAATGAAGAAATCGCCATTGTTGGGCGAAGATGAGGAAGAGAGAGAAAGGAAGTTAGTTAGAGAAAAATGGGGAAGAGGTTAAGAATTGTGAAATTTGGGAGTAGTGTTTGTGATGCGGTGATGCGTGTTCGACTAGCAGAAGAAGATACGCGAACAGAAGAAAAGGCGCGGCGGTGCCGCTTTGGGTTGTGTCAAGTGTCAACACCTTGGTTTTGGGCATCATTGTTCATTTCATTGGGCCTAGCTTGACTTACTTGGAGTGAAATGGATTGAAGCATTGTTAGAGTGTGGCCATTGGTTGACCCATGACCTGGTCATGAGGAGAGATAAAGGACTTTTTATATTAAATAAATGGAAGAAAGAAAAAAATGGATGAGAGAGGTTCATGATCTTGTCATTGAATGACCAAGATAAAAGTTTGGTCATGAAGCTATTATTTGACAAGTGGCTATTTTTTATTGGAAGATGGAGATGGCTATTTGCATGTATTTGAGCAACAAATTCAAGCATGATCAAATTTATTTTGGGCAACCATTGGGAGTTTTTGGTCATGGTTGGTAATGTGATTTGGTCATAGATGAGTGGAAAAAGAAGAAATTATATAAATAATCATGACCAATAATTTTGGGTCATCCATTGGGTATACTCTTAAGGGTGCGTTCTTTTCGCCTAAATAACAAGTTGGTTCGGTTTAAGTTTAGTGTGTACGGAGTAAGATGTTTTGGTTAGTGATTTTTTTATTGGTTAACTTATTCTGTTAAATTAAAATGATCTTTACTTTGTATGGTTTAATGATATTTTGCATAGTTATAAGCTTGTAACTGAAAACCTAACGGGCCAACGATTGATTGAATTAACCACACAGTTTTTTTAAATTTGGTCAAACAACCCACCCGATGACCAATAAGAAGATATGAAGTAATAATTAACAAACCAATTGAATACAAAGATGAAAGACTTTTGTGAAATATGAACATTTGAATTAGTTTGGTCTGAATTTTACGAGTTCAATCTAATTTTGGCAAAGAAAATGAAGGATTATTTACTAGGGATTTGTTAAACATCGCCCACAAATTACTACATAAAGCCCACAAAATTCACTTGGTTTGCCAAAATTGCCCTTGACCTTAAAAAAAACACTCACACTCTCATCACTCACACTCTCATTGCTCATCTTCTTTCAACCTCTCTAAAAAAAAAAAATTCAAACAACGGCAATGTCGAGGCGGCAAGGCAAGGAATTGGCGGCGGCGGCGGAGGGAAGGATGTCCCAAGGAGGAAAGGTACATTTTGTTAAAAAAAAAAAAAAAAAAAAAAGGGAAAAACCGTCGTGACGGCGGTGGGGCGCCCTGGCTGGACGCCCAGCCAGCGGTGGTGGCGCTAGCTGCAGACGCCGCCACCAGTTGGCTGGCGCCTGGGCTGGACGCCACAACCACGGTTGTGGCGTTTATTCAAGGCGCCGCAGCCGTGGCTGTGGCGTCCAGCCCAGGCGCCAGCCCACTGGTGGCGGCGTCTGCGGCTGGCGCCACCATCGCTGGCTGGGCGTCCAGCCAGGGCGCCCCCCCCCCCCTTTTTTCTTTTTTTTATATTTTTTAAAAAAATTGTTTTTAATTTTTTTTTTTTTGTGTAATATATTTTTGAATTGTTTTTATATTTTGTTGTTTATTTTTATAAATTTTTTCAATTTCGTTGTATTTTTTCTATGTTTATATTTTGTTTACAATTATTTGTATGTTTTTAGTTTATTTGATTTGGGAGTGGTAGCTATTTTTCGTATAAATTTTTGTATGTTTATATATTTTAAAATTTTGTGTAGAATTCACTAGGTCGTCATGGTGCGGGGAAGAATATAGAGCTTCTTAGTAGAAGCTATTCAGTGGAGAGGTCGGGGCATAGACATGTCAGATCCCGTGGTATTTCGGCCTCAGCTCGTAGAGAACGGATCCACCGTCGGGATGAGGATGACGATGAACGATGATGATGCTGAGGAGGGTGACCAGGAGGAGGAGCAGGAGGAGGGCGCAGATGAGGATGAGGATGTGGACGATGGCAGTGGACCGTATGATGATTACGGTCCATTCAGTCAGAGGGTTGATGACATGTACGAGACACATATGGTGGAGGTGCGTAAGGGTAGGGGTGGTAGGTTTGTTAGTAGATCTGGCACATCATCTGCGTCCACTGTATCTGGGGCAAGCAGGAAACGGTCGAGGACCGGTAATGATTCTTGGGTTGTTAGGAGTGAGGTGCCCGGTGGGCCTGTTGACGGGAGTGTGATTCCTAGCTTTCTAGGACACATAGTTGCCCGTATTTGGGAGGACCAGGAGAGGCCTTCAGTTACGGGGTTGTTGAAATGTCATACCCGGGAAAAGACTTGTAGCTTTTTGCGTACATGGGCTGAGGCCTGGCCGACGGAGAGCGAGATGTTCGAGCGACTGGAGGGCACTGGGGTGAATCACGTTCCTGCCACCATGCACGATAAGATTGACAGTACGCTGATCACGGCTTTCATTGAGCGATGGCAGCCAGATACAAACTCTTTCCACCTTCCGTTCGGTGAGATGACGATCATGTTACATGACGTTGAGGCCATTCTGGGGATTCGTGTTGAGGGTAAACGACTTTGTGCTGTGGCTGATGCGGATCAGGCAGATTTGCTGGCGGAGTTGTTGGCGGTGGACAGGGTTGCACTGTACACCGAGGCGCTAGGTGTTTGGGAACACGGAGGTGTGAAGATCGCATCCGTGTTGCAGCGGTGTTTGTACCCCAGTGCACGTAGGACGCCCGACGCACAGCTGAGTGCTTATGTTTTTCTACTCCTCGGATGTACCTTGTTTCCGGATAAGAGCGGCGGAAACAAGCTCAGGCCACGCGACATAGTAGAGGCGTGTGACCCCGACAGTGTAGGCCAGTTTTCCTGGGGATCGGCTACGTTGGCGTATTTGTATCGCCAACTAGGATTTGCGAGTCGGGCTGACGCGGCAGGTATCACTGGGTGTCTGACTCTATTGCAGACCTGGATATACGAGTACTTTCCTGCATTGCGACCACATCGTGACCCAGTTCCTATTGATGAGGGGATGCCGCGTGCTTGTGCATGGAGTCCGCGCTCGGAGAAGAAGTCCGTTGACCGCCTCCGATCGATACGGTTATTGCTGGACAGGCTGTCCCCCTTAGAGGTAACGTTTATAAAAGCAGGAGTAGGAGAAGCTGTATTGGATGCTATCCTTTCCTTCTTAAACTCTGGCAGTTTGCTTAGGGAGGTTTTATATACCGTTATTGCTAAAGTTCCCAAGATCCCTATAAATTGTTTCTACATTTTATTATTTGCACATATTATATTCATGTTATTAAATTTTATATGTTGTTATTGTACAGGTGAACTGGATGCCTTTCGGCCCGAACCCTAGTGTTAGGGTACCCAGGACCCTGTACACGGGACTCATTCAGTATCGTGAGATCGTCGAGGCGTACATGCCCCAGCGTTGTCTTCGCCAGCTTGGATTTGTCCAAGTTGTCCCTCCTCCCCCGGCATGCCCGATGAAGGCGGTCCGACCTGCATCGTCGAGGGACTACGTCGTGCAATGGCCGGATATCATGACCGGGACGTGGGACCAGTTTCCGATGGTGGCCCGCTTATGGACTGCGGAGTTGCAGCGGCCGCCCTCTGGGGTTACTCCCATGTGTGACCATTACTACATGGAATGGTTCAACCGGTATTCGCACCCGAGGTTGATCGCAGATCTCGACCACAGCGATGATGATTATGTGCCACCGCCTACTTCCACGGAAGCGGTATGTCTTTTATTATATTTATCGTTGTCTTTTAATTAAGTTTTATATGTTGTTATTGTATTTCATCTTCTGTTTTTTGTTGTATGCAGTGGATGGGAAAGATAATGCAGGACGTACAGAAACTCTCTCTTGAGAAGGACAGCATGAGTGCAACAGGGAGAGCTGTTGTTGATAGTCTGGAACAGACCCTTGCGCAGTGGGAGTCGTCGTCGAGGAGGGATTACTGATGGATATTGTATTTTATTTATAGAGCATTATGTTGGACATTATGTTGTAAGATTGTTCTTTTAGCTTCCAACTTAAACATATTATCAGTGCTGTTTTTAAATTTTGATATAACCGTTCGTGGATCCACGCAACTTACCCATGCAACATATAGAATGCAGTAAGCAATACAATATAAAATATTAATGTTCTCATTAAAAGAGCAACGTACAAATAAGATTACAAATAAAGAATGTAAACATGAAAAACTAAAATGCAGCTAGGGTGTTCCATTCGTGGATCCGGTCATGATATAGCGCATCCCAACCCTCTACGTTCGCTGTGCGAATGTTGTACCACCGAGGTATAATCGGTGGCACTGGAAAATCGGTTGACATGTCTAGTCGGATGAAATGTCTGTATGACGACCCAAGAAACGCAATAGCTAGCTCTCTGACCGGTGTGGTGACAGTCTCACGCGACCGCCAAGGGAGAACCGTGGTACAAGGATAATAAGCTTGACTATGCACTCCCAGGACGAAATGCATGACTGCGCATTTGTAAATGTTTGCAACGGCAAACAGATCTAGGGGCGCGTCAAAATAATGATTTTGGCCGCAAGGTCCACCTCCCCACCGGATACGCCGCAGAGCGCCATCCAAGTCATCCTGGTACACATGACGATAAACATTTCGGTTAGAGGCAATTTCGTTGTACATCAACTGACGCACCAAACCGTAGTTGTCTTCGCCCATTTGAAAAACATCAGCCACGACCCGGAATCCGCAGTTACCATCTCCGATTACATCATTCCACCCTTCCAAGTACGACATGATGATCGCAGGTATCCTTTCCTTGTACGGAAACTGTTCAACATCGTTTCTTCCTATTCACCATATAATTATAGACAGTTAAGAAGGCAGGAGTAACACTTTAAAACTATGTGCAATAAAAACAACCAAAACGTACCAGTTCTCAGGGGCATATTCACAGACGATGAAGATTGACTACGACTAGATGACGATGTCCGACCACGAGAACGACCACGACCAAGACCACGGATTTACTCAAACGCACTCCTGTTCCGCCGTTGTCGACCTCGAGGACGGTCAACTCCTTCGGGTTCCTCATAATCTAAGGTAGACGGGTGGAACATGTCATGAAGTACATGAGTAGCGTCACGAATAATAGAAGGATGGCTGGAGGACACTCGGTCGTACATCGAACGAAACTGCTCCAACTCCTCCTGTTCACGGTCGGCCGTTTGAGTGTCTGCATGCTCACCAATAACAAGCGTCCTCCAGAATGAATGGACCTGATCAACATGTAACGACGCCCTTTCTTCTGTAATAACGCGGTGAATGGTGCATGCGCAAGGTAATCCATGAGT